TAGAAAACTAAAACAAATAAACTGAAAAATGCTATGAACTTAGAAAACTGAGAAGAATTTTTTAAAACTAAAATCACGATTTTTCATTAAATAAATATTTTTAAATTAATTTTTGAATTTATGAAGTATTTAAATCATAAAATTTAAAATATAAATAGGAAAAATATGAATTTTGGCAGAGATATTAAATGGCCTTTGAGAAAGCTTCTCTGATTTTTCTAAGACATTTTAATGTTTCTATATTTGTATTTTAATTTTTGAACAAAACGACATATTTATGTAAATTAAAAATTAAAAAAATTATAAAAATTGTAAAACTCTCTCTGATTGAATGTTTGTCCATAAACAGAGGTTTAAAAATTTTAAAATCACGTTTAAAATATTTTTTATAATTAAAACATGTTAATTAGTGTTCAGGTTTAATTTAGGCTAAGTTTATGCAACCCAAGCTCAACCTAAGTCCAATCTAGCCAATTCTCTTTAGGTCCTGTTCAACCTAATTACAGACTTGGTTAGCCAACTCAATGATTGAGTCAATCACCCATTAAGTCTAATTTTAGTCATTTAGGGTTTTAGGTCAGCCAGTCCTTAGACCGAGTCTAGCCTGGGAAACTTAACCTTTAGCTAAGTCCAATTTGAATAGTTGGACCATTTTAAGCTTGAGATTTAAGTCATCCTATCATTCAAACTAAACTTCTTGGATTTTAGGGTTAGTCAACATGAACTTTAGTTTAGTTTGACCTATATATTCGATTCATCCTAAACTAAACCTAAATCTTAGGTTACTTAATCCTAAACCAATAGGATTAGTTAACCGAAACCTTAGGTTAGTTAACCCTAAACCAATCGAATTAGCTAACTTAAAACCTAGGTTAGCTAACCCTAAACCAATCGAATTAGCTAACCTAAAACCTAGGTTAGTTAGCCCTAAACCAATAAGATTAGTTAACCCAAATCTTAGTTAGTTAACCATAATCCAATATGATCAGTTAACCTAAATTTTAGGTTAGTTAACCTTAAACCAATAGGATTAATTAATCTAAATCTTAGGTTAGTTAAACCTAAACAATTAGGAGTAGTTAACCCAAACTTTAAGTTAGTTAACCCTAATCAAATAGGATCAGTTAACCTAAACCTTAGGTTAGTTAACTCTAAACGAATAGGATCAGTTAACCGAAACCATAGGTTAGTTAACCCTAAACCAATACGATTAGCTAAGCCTAAACATTAGGTTAATTAACTCTAAACCAATAGAATTAGCTAACATAAACCCTAGGTTAGTTAGCCCAAAACCAATATGATTAGTTAACTTAAACCCTAGGTTAGTTAACCATAAACCAATAGTATTATTTAACCTAAACTCTAGGTTAGTTAACCTTAAACTAATAGGATTAGTTAACCTAAATCTTAGGTTAGTTAACCACAAACCGATAGGATTAGTTAACCTAAACCGTAAGTTAGTTAACCCTAATCCAATCCTGATCTTTAAGCTAAATAAACTTGAATCATAGCTTAGCCTTAAGTTAAACCTAGCCTAAACCTTAGGTTAAGAACCTAACCCATAGGTTGAACACAGGAGAACCTTTTAGGTAAAACCTTAAACCTAAGCTAAACCTAAACCCCTCAACTTGAACATCAATTAAGAAATAAAATAAAACACATTGGGAGGGGCAAAATTTGCATAAAACACACTAAAACTTGAACTTAAACTAAAAAAAATACAATAAGGCTTTAAAGCATGATTTTGAGGTTAAGTCAGCTTCGAAGTCGTCAACTTCATATAAGTAATAACAAGTGAACAAAAATAACTAAAATAAAACACTTAAAATTCGACAATAATATGTAAACAACTTAAAATATTTCAATCCTAAAATTGATGAAGTAATTCAAGAATTAATCAAATCTTAATCACAAAGATCACATAACGCAACTTAAATCTCTTTTTGTTCTAGTTTACGAACATTCCTTAGACGATGCATTTTGTGGATGTTGACAAGAATCTTCCGGTCCTAGAATCTCCCGGTCCTGGTGGGCAACCACCTTTTGGACTAAGTAAGCTAGAACACCCGACGACCCCGGACGACAGAGCCATAAACATGTTGAATGAGTTACCACTAATTAAATAATTAAAATTTAATAAAAATTTGATAAAACATTGTTTCTTTTGCTCTATTTATTGTTTTATGTATCTCAATGCATGTTCTTTTACTGTTTTTATCAAACATAGAATGCATGTGTTAAATACAAATGATGAAGAAATAAAAATTGTTTAGATTATGGAGAACCTAGAAATTATAACACTAGGGAATTACTTAGCTTAAGTGAACTTAGTTTTGGTCTAGGTTTGAACTATACCTCCACTACCCTTTAATTAATTCACTATAAAATTATCGAAACCAATAAAACTCTTAATAATAAGATTGGAGGACCTGAAGACTTGAAGACACTTGAAGGGGCAAACTTTATAGGCAGTTCGTTCAAGACCCTTTCCTTAGTTTAAATGACAATCCTTATGATTTCTAGGTTGTCTTTTATGACATAAAACCTCTCTTTTGTTAGGCTCCTGCATAGTCCCGATATGCAGCATGTCCTAACTTGTTTTAGGTTTCTGAGGTAGTCACTCGACGTAAAACCTTCCATCTTTCTAGGCTTTTTGTGTAGACCATCATTACACAAATCTAAGTCCTAATTAATAAAACTGACAAGGGTTAACTTAAATTAATATCATCTTAAACTTAAATTAATATCATCTTAAATTGAGTCAAATATTAGGATAGTTTGAGGGATTACCAAGAACCTATTTTGGATCTTTAATCTCTTATACTTTTCTTCTTTTCATTCTTAAAACAAAATCTTTCACCTTTGAACTAATCCCTATTGAAAATCTCACAATCTTGTTTGTTGAAAACCCTTCCTTTTGGCTCATGAAAACAAAAGATTCCTGATTTTTATCGAGAGTTTTTTTAAGTGATTCTTTCGCTTAACATGTAATTAACTATAGGTGCTTGCCCTTATAGAGAACTTAAAAGAACCTAGACTTAAAATAAACCCTATTTGACTCACATATCGAATAGGGGAATCTATCGGTCATCATGCAAACTTGCAGATCAAACGAAAGTCATTTATTTCTATAGTTTATTTAATCGAGTTTATTATCAAGTAGTGTATTACCTTTCGGGGTAGTACATTACTCGTAATTAGCTCAATTATTCAAACTATATGAATCAATGAGATCAGTTTGCCCTCATTTTCTTCAAATTAAAATACCTAATTTCTAAACACTATATTACGCTACATTAAATCGCACTCAGCCGCATGGCGACCGACAATAGCCCTAGTGCATGTCTTGAAGGTTGATGAACCAATGTTTAGTATGTAATGATGAGGCATGCGTAGAAGGCCAAGTGAAGGTAGAACATTGTGTAATGACAACATACCACAAAAAGTTTCATATTGAGTGATGCCTCTATAGAAGAATCATATGCGAGTGTATGAAAAATAACTCCTAAAAGACCCAACTACCATAGAGCGCACCCAAAATATAGTATCAACAAACAATGACAAATTCCCAACAACAAAAGGCTATTACTTGAGTCAATATTTGACAACAATGTTAGATATTATTTACCTTCATTTTATTGAACTTTAAAAACTCTTCATATGGAACATCTTGTAAGCTCACTATTTTTGGAAAAAAGCATCTATCTTAAAGCATCTATCTGGTCTTGCCATCACGATCATATTTTGTTGTCCAAACGGTCCTTAAAGTTTCAACTGTTGACGCGCTCGAGTATAGCTTTTCATGCAGAAGGTAGGTAGCATATATATTTAGATAAAAATTGAAGTATGTGTTAGATGCATAAATATATAAGAATTGAGCGGTATCATGAATTTCTTGTTCCCGGCCTAAATTTAAGATCATCAAGACCCCAATTTCAGTAAGTTTGTAGTAAAATAGACCATATTGACAAGACGAACCCAATGATACTAAAATTGATTCTATCTGAGTTCCATCAAGCCAGATCAAGTCATTAAAACATAATTGGAGGTTTTGGATCATTAATTGAATGGACAAATGAACTTCAAAGTTGACATATTTATAGCAAAGTTGAGCGTTTCAACGAGAGGAATCCAACGAGCTCAAATTCGCTTAATTTTAAGATCATTAACACCCTCAAATCTTTAAAGAAATCTTAGATCAAGAGAAAATAATGTGGGTTTAGAGAAGTTATTCACTGAAAAATCAAAATACTCCTACCCCGAAGGATAGATATAAATTGACTCTCTTTTTTCACTTGGAGAGAAGGAATTCCAAAGTGGATTGAGGCACAACAATAAGATTTGTCATCCGTAGTCGTTGACCACAGTCGACCATCACTTGTGGGCCGACGTCAACCACAACCGACCGCACAACCCCTATTTGCTAAAGTTGTATCTCAAATATGGACGTAACATATAACGTCGTATGGGAAACCTGGTGATAACTTCCGATCTCGATAGTAGTTGACCACCGCCTGTCAATCGCCTTTGCTTTCCATCGTCAGCCACCCCTACTTGTAATGTCGTATCTCAAATATGATCATAATGTATAACGCCATATTGGAGACCTAACGAGAACTTTCAGCCCCGGTAACTGTCTATCATCGATTATTAGTCATTGCTGACCACCACCTGCCGCCCCTGCTCACCACTGTCGGTGACTCCTGATTTCTAATGTCGTATCGCAAATATGGCTACAACATAACGTATAATACCGTATTTAAGATCTGATGATAAATTTTGGCCTATGAAGGTGTCGATCACCATTGATAACCACATGTAAGCTGTCATTCAGATGGAGAATTCCATCTGCTGCTCACACCTAATAATATCTACTTTTAATTTCAATAGATTAAGCGTGTTAGGTCAACTTTAAATGAAGAAATTATAATATCTTAAATCTAATCGATCATCCATTCCATCAATCATTTTTTTGTTGGCAAACTCAAACAAGCTATTGATGGCTTACCAAATCCGTCTACTAAAATATCATCATTAATAACCATTCATATATACAATAAAATTAAATTCTCAATTACATCCCCATATATCAATTCCTGCAACCTCTCCAATACGATCCTTCTTCCAAGCCGCAGTGAACAATAATGAAAAATTCACAAGCATCCATCTGCCGGAACAATCTACAGCAAACAATCCATGAATCTAAGCCACGGAATACCTGTCCTGGACCCCTTCTGTACCTCCTTCCAACACGACGGCGAAGAAGGCACCGCCCCAGCCGGCCTATCTCCGACCCCCGAACCAGATTTCCGCTTCGGACAAAGGAAAAAGCTCCTCGAACCAAAATTCACCAGCTTCTCGTCAGGATCCAAACCTACATAACCGATTCATTGATTAATCAATAAGAACGGGAGGGAGGAACAGAGTTACAGATCGGGTTAGGGTTTCCGACTTACTTTCCAGGCTGAATTGGGAATAGTGGAGGCCGAATGCGGACGGATCCGTGGAGCATAGTAATGGAAGTCTTTCTTCTTCGATGTAGATCTTAATCACGGCCGCCATTAAATCAAGTACCGTCCAATCCGTTGAAGCCATCACCTGAACCGGACCCAAGCTTCTCTGCACGGTCACTTTCACCAGAATCTTTGGTGGATGCGCCGGTGGCGGAAGCGTCCGAATAGAGTCGAGGAGGTCCGGTTGGGTCTTCGGCCGACGAATCTGTGGTAGATCGGATGAAGCGGTTGCCGGCGATCCATGAAATGAGGCCGGCCGCCCCGGCGGCGGGCCGCGGAGAAGCTTTGATTGAGCGGGGGAAGGAGCCATCTGGTTGCTTAATGAAGAAGTCAGGTTGGAGTGGCAGCGAAGGGCTGTGAGGGCTGAGGGGTTTTTATAGTTGCAGAGGAAGGTGTGGGGCCCAAAGATAGTGATCACATTTGCATTATTTTCTAATTGCGTGGTGAGATTATTGGAGGAATTGAGTGATTCAGCAATTTTGTTATGTTATTTAAGAATTGAAAATTTTAAAAAAAAAAAATTAAATGGATAAATGTTTGGATAAATATTTTGAGCAACAAGTTAAAAGGAAAAATTTTAAAACAAGAAAATTTTAATATTTGAATATTAAAAAATGATAGTTTAGAAAATATTTATAAAATAGATAAAATTGTAGACTTATATGATGGCCACCATACTAAGGGTGTGCTTGAGTCAGCGGTACGGTGGCTATGTGGTGTCGCCCCACAATCTGTTTGACAAAAACGCATTTTGTCTGTGTTCCCAAAAAGTTACAGCTGAAACGTGTGTTTTCCGATCAGACTTGACTACCTATGATGCCTGCTAGAAAATTGCGGTCTGAATTTATGATTTTTTTTAATAGTTACTGTAGTTTTTTGAAAAACAGTTTCTTTTTTAGCAGCTTCACAGTTGCTTCTTCAAATATCTGCAATTGTCCCAAAAAAACCCTAAGTGAAAATAACACGTCTAATTCCGACCAACAAAATTAGATGACCGCCTCCAACGGGTCGTATAACCACCGAAGACAGAAACTCGTCGAGATGAGTCCTCCTTGCCTCAACCCAATCGCTCTAATAAAGCTCGATTAATCAGAGACGCAAAAATTTTATTTTTTAATTTATTTCATTAAATATATTATCATTAAAATTAATATAAAGATTACTATAATTATTTAAATTTGATTTATTGAAATTTTATTTAATAGTTTTTTTATATCCCACAGAGATTGATTAATTTGCTTTATTGAAAGGAAAAGTGTGGAATTAAACTTTTAATCATATCAACTTATTGTTAATATTTTTTATTCTTTAAAGAGATAAAAATCATTCTAAGGCAATGCAATGATTTAATTTTTTAGTAATAGAGTAGATATTTTCTTGCAAGAAAGCAACAATATTTTTGTTTTGGCCAAATAATTAGTTATAACATTGCATATTATTAATGAGGAATTTATTGATTATAATTAATAGGCATAGATGATACAAGTGAGGTGGGGCCACTCGTTAGAAAATGAAATTTTCCTAGATTTTTTAATTAAAATTTAATTATTATAAACAAAAAATTGAATTTAATTTAAAATGAGTTAAATTTATAAAACAATCAACAAAATTATATTATTTTTATCTCAACATAAATTAAATAATATTAAGACAGATTGATTCACATATTTAAATAATAATAATATTAGCTAGATTCAACTTAAAAAGAATTGCAAAAAAGATGAACTTGTGAATCGACATGGCGCCACATGGTGTCTCCTAGTGAAATCACTCATCAATATCGTGATTTAGGGCTTGTTTGGGGTAGCTACAACCTATTTAAAAGGTGTTTGCAGCAGCTGTGACAGAAAGTTGCTGCGGAGAAGCTTCTTTTAAATAAATTCGTTGTTTGTTTGTTTTCTACAGTTTGAAACAGTTATGCTGCAGTTGTTTCTGGTCAGATGATTATTCTGCCCTGGTACTGTAATGTTGTTTACAACAGAACCATTCATAGTAGCACATTTCACTCTTGAAAGTAAATATCAAGTTTGAACATTACAAAATAAAAATAGCACCTCACTAAATAACGAGTAACATGACTATCAAATTTTAAAAAAAAGAGTATTAAAATATCAATTAAAAATATGATCATAGTATTTTTAAAATGTAGCTGGTGTAAGTCATGAGATAAGCCGTCCTCTAGGGAAAATCTTCACACTCGATCATTATGCCCACCTGAAGAAGTCACAGTTTTTTGTTTTTCTCCTTGAACAACTGTAATATTGTCTCTCGTAGTTATGTGGTTGCCACGAAATAAGCATCACACATAGTAGTTTGCAGTAGCACTAAAATACTCTGGAGGTACTGGAAATCCTCGAGCTCATCTTTCCTAAAGGCTTAAAATGATAAAACACATACCTTTAGATGTAACATTAGTAAAAATGAATGATAGAATTTATCAATTAAAATAAGATGCAGCTATGAGGACTCAGAGAACACAGCATGCAAGCTAACAAAACAGTCACTACAAGAAGACAACTGACCTTATTAAAAAAAGGGTTATTGGTTATCTTTAACCTACGAAATACTGATCTCATATGTGTCACATATGCATATCACCAGAAAAAGTCCATCCAGAAGAATCTCAAAAACTATGACACTGAAAAAGGAGGAACTTGGTTGCCTTCATTGAGATTTCAGATGTGACAAATACCAATAGCGATATATAGGTCATCCATAAAGATCCATAAGGTCATATGTCTCATCATAGACCTCCAAAACAAAATAAAAAACTTATGATCAAGGACAATCAACGCAGGTCGCTCAATGAAGTATCTCAAATATGAAGTAATTTAGTATCATGAATACTGTGTAATGAATATGGTGTAAAGTAGTATCCTGAGCATGGTGTATCGAAAATCAGATGATAACTCTCGATAACAACTGCTTATGATAGTCATATTTAGAATACAACGACTTTCTCTTGAGTTCAAAAGTTTTCTATACGTTGTATACTGATATGTGTTATCTCTAGCGTAAAATAACAAACCCAAGAGAATGTCAACGAACGCTACTGTAGCTATCAACCACGCCCTATGTGATCAAGTACGACATACCTGTAAAACTGCTACTATAGCCTCCAACTACTACTTATATGAGCGATTGTGGCCTATGTGGCTTGTTTCTATTACAGCTTCCGACTACAATCTATGTGACAAATTGATGCTCTTACAGCTTCAACTTAACATATGAGGTTAGTTACTTCTGAATTTCCCATTATGGCATCTCAGACCAACTAACACTCTTGCAACTACGAACCATGGCCTATGTGGTCAATTAATACTTCAACTTCTCAAAAAGCCCTCTCCGCCTAGCTGACGGTGATGTAGCTACTAACAACGAATATGTTGGCAATTACTACTAATAATCTAATTATAGCCTTCGTTGTCAACTAACATTATTGTAGTCTCCAACTACGAACTCTGTGGCCAATCGATATTATTGCAGCCACTGGCTACAATTTTTTTTACTAACTACCGTTTTTGTAGCAACCAACAGCTGTCTTTGCGGCCTGTTCGCGCCAAAAACTACATTTGTTGTAGTCCAATTATAGCTATTAAAGCTGGATGACTATTATAAACCTATAATTATCAGTATTGCAATTTCATATTCTCTAATTCAGTAGAAGTGTTTACCCATGTACTTACAATCATATAATGGGTTACTTTGACTAAACTCCTATGATTTTTTCCCTTTTCAAAGTTTTTCCACGTAAAGAATCTTGGTGGCTCCTCCTAACTCTTTTTTATTATATGTGTGTATTGGATTTTAGTACAATGTTGAGACATTAAATTATCTTTATACAGCCACGAATCTTCTAGAACGCAATACTAAGATAATTTAAAAAAAATGTTTAAGTTTTAAAGAAGTATTAAAATTTAAGTATTTCTAAGAAAATGTTAAATTTATCAAAATTCAAAATATATTCATATGTTTACAATGACAAGGTAAAAAAAATCATTAAACTTGCTCAATTAGCTTCTATTAGTGTGAGATTAAATATCACATATAGAACACTATCTAAATTT